AGGCTATTTCAAAGCAAGGCTACTGTGTGCACTTCAGGTTGCTTAACTGGGCTGCAAACCACATCGAAATGTGCCAGTAGCCATGACTGCCAGCATTTGGAATGGCAGTTCGTCAGTATAGATATGTCCCTAGTCACTTTTCAATTACTCCTCAAAAAATTATTTTAAAAGAATATGAGGAAAGAAAGAGTCCTGGAACTGAAATATCAATTAAAATCATCAAGCTGGGTGTGGTGGTGCACACTTGCAATCAGGCACTCTAGAGGATAAGGCAGGAGGATCAGTGCAAGTTTGCAGCCAGCCTGGGCTACACAGTGAGTTCAAGGCTAGCCTGAACTACATAACGAGACACTGTTTAAAAAAAAAAATCAGTTACTAGGATTGAAAACAGAGAAGAAAACAGATAAAAAAAAATGAACAAATTTAGTGGACTGGTGGGTCAGTATCGAATGGTGTAACAAGTCTCAGAAGCACAGAGACAGACTGATGCAGAAAAAAATTGAAGGTGTAAGTGGTAATAATTTTGTTGAACTGGATAAAAAATAGCAACATATGGATTAAAAAGGTAAGTGAGCTCCATATAGGGTAAATACAACATCACATCTAGGCCATATCTGGGAGTTTTAGTGTAATCCTAGAACTCTGAGAGGCTGAGGCAAGACAATGGCAAATTCCAGACAAGCCTAGGCAACTTAGCAAAACCCTATCTCAAAATAAAAAGAGCTGTGGATATAGTTCAATGCAAAAAAGACCCAAGGTTCAATCCTTGATACTGAGGGGAGAAGAGAGGAGACATTCACTGTATAATTGCTACTATATGGGCATCTAGAGAAGTCCAATTCATACAGCAGAAACAGAATGGCAGTTCCCAGGAGCTGAGGGAAGATGAAAATGAGTGTGTGTAATGGGTAGAGACAGAGTGTTTTAAAATAAAACAATCTCTGGAGATGACTGTACACATAAATGCAGTTACTAAACTGCATACTTACAAATGGTTAAGTTGGTAAATTTCATATTGTACAGTTCATCACAATTTTTTAAGAAAGGAAAAATCAGAGAAAAGAATATATCACACATAAAGGAGTAAAAATGAAAATAACTCATCTTTCCCTAGAAACAATGAAAATTATAGAATGGCATCTTTCAAATCTTTCTTGAAAGAAAGTAGAACTCTCACTCCAGAACTTTATACACTATAAATAGCTTTCTCAAAAATGAAGGTGAACTCAAGATACTTACAGATAAATACAAGATGGGATTTTTTTTAAAAAATTTTTTAAGGGAATTGCATGGCAAGAAATGGTAAAGAGAGTTCCTCCAGCTCAAGAAGTTAGGTGGAAATGTCATTGATAATGTTTCATTTTTGTTTTCAATACTTACATTTACGATAAGAATTTATAAGGGGGAAAAGGCCCTCTATAGGTATGCAGATATTCACTATTTCTGTTGGCTTCCCATGATTCCCAAAGACCCAAGTTTCCTTTCTGGTACCATCTTGCTTCAGCCTAAAGAACTTACCAAGGGGCTCCTGTTATGTCTCCTGTACCCCAAGAAAGATGGGGTTTTCCAGAGAATTTCAGCCACTTGCCCCACTGTGGCGCTTGGCAATAGGCCTCACTGTGGAGGCAAGTCAACAAGAGACAGAAAATGGACCTCTGTGACTTCCAAGATCTTTCCTCCTCTCTAATCTCCTTCCTTTTGCTTACTTTTCAGAAGTTTTACATTTTCTACTTTGGGTTTGTTCAGCTTGTGCAGTTGTAGCCATCGAGAGGTACAGTCTAAAATGTTCTGCCACCACAGGGCACTTGGAATTTATAAACTGCTTTTCAGAGTTTCTGTATTTCTCCTAAAATTCACCATGTGCTTACCCATTACCCATTGATTAAAAAACTAACATAATTATTTAAAAATCTTTGTAGAATAGCTCCAAAACCTGGGCTTATTTTGGTCTGTTTCTAGGTATAGAATTTTCTCAACTATGGTTAACTTGGAGATAGACCTTTCCCCAGTGGCCTGCCTCCCTTGACCAGGTCCCATCTCCTAATTACAAGTCTTCCACAATACCTCCTTAGTTCAGTTATCTTCTAAAAGACTTGGGACATCTAGGTATAAACCGTAATAAGTACTTCTTTTTGTTGTTATTGTTTTGTTTTTTTGTGCCAGGAGTCAAAGTACCTTCAGTTTTAAAAAAAATTTTATCCAGAGTTTATCATTATTAGAGTGGGTTTAGTAATGATGCAAGCTACTCTACTACTAATACTACCATTCTCAGGAACTATGTAGTCTTTCTTGGACTTAAAAAAGCTATTTTTCCATCTTCCTCCCCTTAGGATTCTACAAACAATATTGAACTTATTTTCTCTAAAAATCTCCACTAGATACTGATCATTACCCTCTTGTTCCTTCATATATGTAAGTGTAAATAAAGATGCAGCAAAACACAAATTGGACAAACATAAACAACAAGGCTGCCTATCAACTATCTACATGTTCTACTTCCTCCATTACATCATCTCTAAACACAGATTTATTCCTGTCTATTACACACCTATAATGTATCCTCAGCCTTCTCTTCAGAGTTGTTACATACTAATATAAAAATGTACAATAAAAGGTAGAATGTTCCAAAGGCTGTGAAAAAGATAATAAGAACCTGCTCTGGTAATTTACACTAGAAATTAATTCCAACTAGGATGACTAATAGAGGTTTTCCAGTGGAGGAAGGGTACGGAAGGTGGTTTCCAGCTGCTCACTAAGTGTGTCTGCAGCAGACACACTTGCAGAGCTGTTCTCTGGTGCTTCAACTTCAGCATGGGAGTGGAGTAGTAGTTAATAGTACATAAGGCCTTCTGCCAAGTGTGACCTACAGATGAGCTGCACTGGCATATCTGGTGTTCATCAGAAAGGCGAGATCGTGGGATCCAGGCTAAGCACACTGACTTAGAAAGAGCATTTCTGGGCTAGGGATTTAGCTTAGCGGCATAATCCCGGGTACTGATAAAAAAAAAAAAAAAAAGAAAAGAAAAGAAAGAGCATTTCTACAAGATGAATGGATATTTCATATTACAAATCTTAACTACTGAGTCTTTGACTAGAATTAGGAATCTCAGACCTTATGTTTTCTACTCCCAGGTAATCATGCGTGCGTGTAGGAGAAGGGGAGGGGACTCACAAAGAACAATTGGTAACATGTGCTGGATATCTACTTCTAGGCACATGATGTTGGTTTTGCCATTTTATATTCATTAGTAATGCTTTGAATCATTTATTACTACTCTGGAGATAAGAAAATTGAAGGTCAAGAAGATTAAGTGGCCCAAAATCACAAAGAAAGGAAAATAATCTCGAGTTGAGCCCGAACATGACTAACACCAAAGACTAACATGTTCTGCACTAAATTATGCTGCCTCTCTTGTTCTGTGGTTCAGGAGAATCAAGTGCTATTTACAGGTCGGCCAACCAACAAGTTCAGTGATCCAGGCCAACTCAATCTATCTTTTTTAGAACTCAGCTCTTCACGTCTAAGCTGGGGGAAGATGAGCTAGAGAAAGCGCACATGGAAAGAACATGCTGCTGCTTCAGAAAGGCAGGTGTTTAGGATGTCTTAAGACTGAGTCAGGAGCCTCTGGGATGTGGGTAAATGATGCAGAACAGCATCACTATAACAGGAGAGGGCAGAAAAGAATAAAACCAGAAACTGAAAGAGCTGGATTTTTCATCCTACACCTGCCATTTTTTTGTTGAACGCCTTAGTTTCTTCACAATTGAACAAGAGTTAAATTATCTACATTGGTTATCTATCAGTGTGAGTGGCTGGTTCAAAAGAAACTATGAAAGTATTTCCATAGGCCTGATTTATTAATACAGCCATTTTCTATTTGCCTTAACTTTTATAACATCAATTAGATATTTCTCAATTTAGGAAGATGATTTGTAATCTGCTTGGCTATGGCAGCAATTGGGAGCTGGCTCTGATAAAGTCTACTGGCCTATTGCCTTTGTGTGCTTATTTCTCCTAATGATGGGAATAAAAAGCAAAACAGGTACAGGTTCTTCATCTGTGAGAGAACTACTTGAGTTATAAGAACAAAGATCATTATTATAGAGCAGGGAGTTCTTAATCTAGAACTTTCTGTGATGATGGAAATGTTTCACATCTGTTCTGTCCAGTATGACAGTCAAAGGAGACCAAGAGCTACATTGGAATGTAGCTAGTGTTACACTTTAATTAACCAAAATAGCCCTATATGAATAGTAACTACCATATATAACAGTTCTAGAGCAAAAGTGAGACACAGATTTGTTTAAACAATGTTAAGGATTATAGCTACACTTTTTTCTTTAATCATGAAAACTTTAGTCAGGTATTGGAAATATCCGATGACAAAAATTTTTATATAATTTTTAAGGACTAGAGAGGCAGAGAAAAGGGAATCATCATTTGTGAATGATGATATGTTTTATGTAGGCATTATAGGAGACTACAAAATAAAAGCTAGTCTTTTACAAAATTGTTACCTAAAAGGTCAATATTTTATTTATTTTTTATATCTACACTTTCTTAAGGCCAACAGATAAATTGACTTTGTTATTTTGAAATTCTGAAACTCCATTCCCTAATGCCTTTTACCTCTAAATCAAACACTTTTTTGTGTGTGTGTTTTGAGACAGGCTCTCACTTTGCAGTTCAGGCTGGCCTTGAACCACGGCAATCCCCTTGCTTTAGCTTCCCAAGTGCTGGGATTACAGACATGTGTACCATGCCAAGCTCAAACAAAATATTTTTATAGGATAATTTTTGATGAGAGGTTTCTGTGGTATCTAATCATTGCTTAGGAACACAGATGATACCAATAAAATGTGAAGGTTACATAAAAAAAAGTCACGCTTCGCTGCACCCGTATTTGTTTACATGAAAAGACACTATTTTACCCGATTGTCTTTAAAAGCATACACCAGGGGCTGACAAAACTGAGCCCTGTGAACGGTCACTCACCCACCTTGCATTCTCTGTTCTCCGGCTTATGCACTGGTGCAGGTAGAGATACTCCTGAGGTGCACTGGTGGACAAGGCAGGCTGCATGTGGTTTGACACAGGGGGCTCAAATGTGAACAGAGTTGGCTGGCTGGAGTGCGATGGGGCAGAGGTCTTCCGTTCTCTGAGCAGGTGATGACTAGAGCTGCTGAACTCAGCTGGAGAAGAGCGTGGGCCATGGCTGGCTGAGATGTTTCTCAAGGAGTCTGTGAAAAGGAGAAAGAACTCGAGTGAATAGAAAAAGAAAGGTGTTCTGGTCCTAAAGGCGGCTGTCAGAGGTAGAGAAGGCATTCAGAGCAGTGGTACTAATCTAGCAGTACTGTCTCTCTCCCACACACCTGTTGCCTCTGCCCTCCCACAGGGGAGGGCTGGGAGCTCTGGGTCACCTGGCTCAAAGTGAGAGGTGTTCTGTAACTGTGTCCTACTCCTGGAGTAACCCGGAGGCCACACTGCTTCTCAGCACCCGGGCTGGATCTGCTCCACTCCAGGAGGTTTGGCTACCTAAGATGGAGAAGCGGGACCTTGGCTTCAGACAAGGTCAGCTTCCGGAGTAGTGAGCACCCCAGCCTTCCTCCTCACTCCTTCAGTCACTGCTTCCCTCAAAGCTACGCTGACACTGTTAGACAGGCAGCACAGGACGAACTGAGGCGCTGGTCTGTCTCTCATTGCTTTACTGATGAAAGCACAAACGTCTCTGGAACTGTCCCTTCAGATTTGACCCAAACTCTTCCTGCCTACACTTGCAAGTTCTGTGAGGACAGTGCTGGCCTCCAATCCCTGTAACTCTGTCAACTGGTTTGTTTTTTTTTTCTTAACTCTTTATCTTAAACTCTCCTCTGTTGTTAGAAAGGAAGTGAGGTGTTAAAGACAGATAATAGCCTAGAGTGCTACACCCCAAACCAAAGGTATTATTCACTGGGCTGGCTCTCTAAGATTGTCCAAATTCCTTAGCACAACTTACAAGGCTGTTCACAGCCTGATGTTTCCTGCTTTTCTCTACCCATAAACAAGGCATATGGAAGCATCATTAGTCCCTGCACACACCAGACTCTTTTGTGGTTTTTGTTTTGGCTTACACTGTTCTTTCCACCTGAATTTCATTTATACTGTCCTGGCAAACTCATATCCAGACTTTACAACCCTATCAGGATATCACATTTTTTTTTTTTTTTGAAACTTTCCCATACTTGGTTTTTCTTCTGCTCTTGGTTTTGCTTCTGCTTCCATCGTAACCACATTCACTCTGCTTCCTTGCCTAACCCTTGGGTTTCCGAGGACTTTGGCTGTGATGTTGCTAACTTTATAGTCCCAACACTTACCCAATGAAGATCCACACAGAGGTTCTTAGTAGAATAAGCAAAAACCTTCGTTCAATATTTTAAAAAATTCCAACAGTGGATGTTCTAAGAAGTAAAGGTTTAGTTCAGATCATGATGGCTAAGTTTATTCAAATCACAGGGACACAGTTCTCTGCCTGCTGCTTCCTGTTATCTGACCTATTTTGGGCTGTGACCTTCTCACGGCCCTAGGGAGAATCACCAGCTCATTAATGCTCCACGGTTCTAATTACTCTCCAGTCATTTTCTGATACTAGGCAGGGCGTCTTCTGCCAGTGTATAAAGAAGCAAAGCCAATGGGCCTTTAGGGAAAACTGTTCCATCGGCAGCTGTATTGACCCCAATATGAATTCCCACTGCAGCTCTCACAGTGACCTAGATGTTTGTTACAAGAATCAATGCCTTTATTACTCCATTAGATTTGTAAGATGAATGCTCTAATAGGAGAGAGGTTTTATGCTAGGGGACAGAGTAACCATGGCTCCATGGGAGGAACATAAGCTGCTGCCTAAGAAGATGCAGGGGAGGTTTAAAAAAACAAAGCCTCTGGTGAGAGTCTACATTCCCTGTTATTTCTGCTCTGCCCTTCCATGGGGTATGCCTCAACCCTCTCACAGCCCCATTCTAGGCCTGGAGACACTCCCAGGTAATCCTGTGCACTCCCAAACTTCCGTTATCACCTGTGCGATGACAACTCTCAAATCTCCACCTCTAGCTCAGCTCTCCTTCCTGGGCTCCTAGCTGCTCCCCCTGCCTCAGGCATTCAGGTGTTCCACAGCAGGTCAAGAGTCTAACCAGAGCCCATCATGCCTGCGTTCCCCATCTTTGCAAAGCACGCCAATATCACCATCCCGCTGGCTCTCCTCTCCTGGGCATTGGCTATGCCTGCCCTGTTTCTCAATGGCAATGTCATGGTTATGTTACTATGTTACTTCCCCATGTAAGACTCTTTTTTTTTTTTTTTTTTAAATCGGTACCGGAGATCGAACTCACGACCGACTGCCTGCTTGCAAGGCAGATGCTTATGCCGCTGAGCTAAATCCCCAGCCCCCTCCATGTAAGACTCTTCAACAGCTCCCTGTTAACCTTAAAATGATGTACAAAGAGCTCTTTTTCTTTAAAATCATTTTCCTGTTTATTTCTTCAACCTTGCTTATCAGTGTTCCCTTGGACTTCAGAGGAACACAGAGACCTCTCATCACATTAGACTGTAAAGTCAGTGAGGGAAAGAGATTCTGCCTCTTTTGTAATGGTTCTATCCCTAGTATTAAGTCCAGTATGTTACATAAGTTAGTGACCATTTATTGAACAAGTAATATATGTAGCACAATAAATCACTATTCCCACAGCACCACACACTGACTACCTCTTGCCTTCAAAATAAAGCCCGGGTTCCCCAGTTGGACAGCAAAGGCATTTTGTCACAGCCTAGTTACTCTGTCTTGTCATCCACTGCATCCTTCATGCTCCCTATCCTAAATGGTTGGGCTCAGTCTGAATAAAAGGAGGGATCTATCCTTGAGAATCTCAGGCTGTAAAATCCCACTTGAGGACACCACTCCCTCCCCTCTCCATCTATGTACTGGTAGACCTGTGTGAAGTCATGTCACCTCTAAGAGTCAGTTTCCCTATTTACAAATCAATACAGGGAAGTTAAAGGATGTAAACAACCTTGCTCCTCATAGTTACCCAAAATGTGTTCTAATTTTATTTTATTTGTCTTTTTCATTTTTATCGGTACCAGGGATCGAGCTCATGACTGCACACTTGCAAGGAAGGCACTTATGCCCCTGAGCTAAATCCCCAGCCCCTCTAATTTTATTTTAAAGAGGATAAAACAAAATAAAATCAATCAAAACAAATCAGTATAAGAGATACAGAACTTGAAAACATTATAAAGCAACAATAGTTACCATAATGCCTTTTTTTTTTGTACCAAGGATCAAACTCAGAACCTCAGATAGGTGCTTATGCCACTGAGCTAAAATCCCAGCAATTTTTAGATAGAAACTTTCTTTGTTTTTTTTTTCTTGGTACTGGGGGTTGAACTCATGACCTCATGTTTACCAGGCAGGCGCTTAGGCTACTGACCTAAATCCCTGGCCCTTACCATAACGCTTTTTGATGTCTTCAAAACGGCTACAGATAACTTGGGACATGGCAAAAATCAAGCAGAACAGAATAGAATAGAAACAAAAACAAAATAATGAATGTAATAAAGGACTTCAAAACAAGCCAGCAGGAAATCCAAAATTGTTACCATGATATTTCTTGCTATCTTTGAAACAGCTGCTCATGCCACTGGATTTGACATAATCAAACAAAACAAAATAAAACCCAACCCTACAAAACAATGGAAATGATACAGGACTTCAAAACAAGACCACAGGGAATCAACAATGGCTGCAAATCTCCTTACCTTGGCCCTAGACCTGCAGTGTTAGTGAAACACCAAAGCACCACAGGCATCCAATTGCATTTCACCTCCATAGCTATCATCACAGTGCTTCTCTGGATAAACTAGTCACTTTCACCAGCGATGGGGATGGGGGTTTGAGGGTGGGCTGGTGCTTCTTGTTTGCCACAAGGGGCAGGCGTCTGTCGTTCCAGCCCCTCACATGCACTGGTTCCTAGACTGGGCTTACTTCCTGGTGTGGCCTTTTTCTCTACCCCTGGTCCTTGAATGGTGCTGACTCACAGAGAGAGGCTGGGGTCTGTCTGTTCTAGTCTGCGGCCACCCACGCATCCTAAAATGTGTTCTAATCACTTTTGTATTCTCTATGCCTATAATTGTCCCACTGCAAGCAGGTGCTCAGTACATCTTTGTTGAATGAATATTTTAAATAAAATAATTTTTCCTGGCAAAAACTCAAATAAAAATATTAAAATATTTATGTTCCCTGTGGTCACAATCTGCACTTCATATTTAGATGAAGCATAGAGTTTGGTTGAGTTGGGCCTTCATGTAATAGCTTCTATTCCGCCATCACAAAGCTATCCCTATGAAACCAGCCAGTTTCATGTAAAGGTCCATAACTCCAGAAAAGTTCTGTCAAAACTGTTTGATGCTAAGCTTTGCTAAAAACCACACTTCTGATTACAATTTTAAAAGATTTCTACGTGAACTTATGTGATTATTTCTTAGTGCCTGTACTGGCTATCATAGCATCTTCCCAAAACTCATGTTTGCTCAGGCCTTAAAATAGGATCTTATTTGAAAACAGGACTTTGAGATATAATTAGTTAAGAAAAAGTATTATTGGATTGGGGATGCCTACTCCAGTACTGGTGTCCCTATAAAACAGACACAGACAGGGAGACCAAGGGGAAATGCCATGATGAAAGCGACTGGAGTAAATAGGTCTACGAGCCGAGCCAGAGAATGCCAAGGACTGTGTGCAGCCACCAGAAACTAAGAGAGAAGTTCCCATTCTCCCTGAGAGCGCCCAGAAGGCATCAGCAGTGCACACACTTTAAATTTGGACAACTAGTCTCCAGAACTGTCAGATAATTTATTTTTGTTGTTTTAATCTACCCAATTTGTGATAAACTGTTATGGCAGTCCTAAAAATCCAGTACACTGCCATAAAATCCCAAACTTCATGTAAGGTCTTCTTGCTTATTCGATGGAAAATAATTACAAAATTGACTTCGGAGACCAGTTTTCTGGACTAAGGTGTTCCCATTTAAAACTCTGTAGACAGCAGAGTTGCTGCCTTGTGCCCCTTTTCTGGTAAGCAGACTGTGTCTGACTCTTGTTAGGCCCTACCAAATGTCTGGGGAGGTGCTACCTTCACTCTGCCGTCAGCTAGAGGCAGGAGCTCCAGCCAGTTGGGCTCTGTGCTGTTCTATTTGGCTCAATGAAAGTT